AAATGAGAGAATCTAATTATTAATTACTATATATTCATACATATATGACTTTTATATTTATATTGATTGAAGAAATTTTTTAATTTTATTTAATCAAATATTAATAAATAATTTTGCTATTTTAATCGTTAACGGCCAACGACTGCCCAAGCTCACTTGATTTTCTGGATCCGTTCCTGCCTATCATGTGTGGCCACCTAAACTGGTACTTTAACACCACTAGTGCTCGATATCATTATTCTTGTATATTAGCAGTTTCTCAAGTCCATACCTTGAGAAGCATATAATTTGATCCTGCATCAGTTCTGGCCATTGCATCCCCTGCTTCAAATTGAAATCAATCATATGGACTCATTGGCACCTGTAAAGGCTTCAAGGATTGCCTCATTAGCAGTGACATGGGCAAATTTTAGATATGACTATATAGACAAGATTCATAAAAGTGCATTTCAAGAATATCGAAATGGAAGGATTTAAGGTAAGCTTGTAAATAAATCAAGTAAATCCTCTCGGCCTAAGCTTCTACGAAATAGCTAGCGACTTTTCTTAAGGCCAAAGCTTCTACAGAATATGTATAAGTTGCTGAAATATTTATCTAGCTCCTGAAATTGGCTATGTTGTGGGTTGCCTCTCTATTCTGGTATTGAGCCTCTTCATTTGTCATTGGGTTTTGCTGTGTCATTGGGCCACCGAGTTGTTTGCTTTTTAAATGGATTGATTGATCTTGGCCTTCCATGGACATACTCAGGACCATTGGATGAAATGCTGTAAGGGTGATTTTATAACCCCATTTTCGACTCTTCAATTGTACTGTAGTGGTGTATATTCTAGGGTTTCCTTCATCTTCTATCTGATTGTTTAGATCTCTTCATTTTCTTTGTGATCTTCTGGTTTTGATCTCTGTAATATCTTAGCGGTATTGTTAGACTGTATTGGTGTACAATTTAGAGGTTGTGAGAAGAGGGTTTTGTGTGAGAGAGGCGAAAGAAGACTTAAGTGATTTCTTCACACATTCTATACTGTTCTTTGTGGTTTTTAGTGGATTCGAGCATAATCTACTTTGTAGACGCTCAATGGGTGAGTAGGCTTTCCATCTGAACATCCAGGCCCTAAGGGGCGAAAAATCTTAATGTTCTTCTTTTTTGCAATTTTATCTTACTGCTATTATTTTTGGTATGCAAACTTTGATTCTGAGACCAACAAGCGGTATCAAAGCACTCTTTCAAAAAGGGGTTAGAATTAAAATAAATTGTAGATCTGAACGTTTTTTGAAAACCCTTGGATTTTTCTTGAAAGCAAATTGTGTTTTCTGAAGTTTTTGTTACGTTCTTCTTTCGATCCAATTCTTGATTGGATCATTTTTTAAATTTCTTGATCTGCTTAGTGTTTGATTATCAAGAGTTTTTGATTCGATGGTGTTTTAGTGAAAAACGAACTAGTGTCACTAATCTATAAAATCTTATATTTTTTACTGAGTTCTTGGTGGTCCGATTTTTGACTCGTCACTGCGTTGTGGCCCTTTTGAGAACTCATTTTGAGTGACAGTGAGTTGGTGACTCATCCCCCGATTCCTACTGATTTTTCTTGGCTCACTACTGGTAACATCGAGTTGTTGTGACTCGTTGGCACTTTGTGCATTATTTTGGATAATTGAACCGGTTCTGGTACTTTCTTACAATACTTCTCCTTTTGAAACATTGAAATTTTAGCTCTGGTATAATTCTCCGTACCTTCTTATTTATCAGTCAATTATTAAACTATTCTGTCTACATTTGATTTGGCTCTTAAAGTCATTAATCCTCCTCTACTTTCCTTTGTCCAAGATCTCATTTGAGGATTTGGGAATCTGAGGGAGTAGGAGAATCAAGGGTTATCACTCTTTAAACCTATCAAATTGACGATTTAGTTTGATATATTTACACTTGTTGATCAGTTGCTTATCTTGTTATAATTGTGTAATATCTGTTTTTAACTTTCTTTACATTATCTATATCTGCTATACTCTGTGTGGTGTATAAACTTGAATATGTAAGTTTGTTTGTAATCATGACCACTGTACATAAATTTGAAGTAGAAATTTGGAGAGGGATTGGAGACTTTAGTTTGTGGCGTCAGAAAATGAGGGCTCTGTTATTACAACAGAGGAGTGCTACTGCCATTGATGGGGAGTTCAATATTTTTTCATCTATCTGATACTGTTATTAGAAAGGTTGGAGAAACTACTAATACACAAGGTCTTTGGACCAAGCTATAATCTCTCTATCTAACTAAAATCATGCCCAACAAATGCTATTTCCTTAGACAATTCTACAATTTTAGATTTAATCACTCTTCTAGTTTAGAAGAAAATATTGACAAATTCACAAGACTGGTTCAAGAACTAACTGGATGTGATGAAAACTATCTGAAGATCAACAAATTGTTGCTCGGTTGAATGCACTGGATGATAAATACAGAGAACTGAGAAATGCCCTAGAGCATGGGAAAACTGATCTTACTATTGATATTTTTATATCATCTTTTAGAAATAGAGAACTTGAATCAAAAACTGAAGTCAAGTACTCTAAGTTAGAGGAAGGTCTGAATGTTAGGGAGAAGGTTAATCATAACAAAAAGGGGAATAAATGCAATTTTAATTCT